TAAATATATATATAACTAAATATATATATAACTAAAATATATATATATATATATATAAAACTAAAATATATATATATTTTTTTAGTTTTCGTCGGACACAACATCTTTGTATGTGGTGCTGAGGATCGAACCCGGGCCACACACATGCCAGGTGAGCGCACTACTGCTTGAGCCACATCCCCAGCCCAGAAGTATAATACTCTTGTTGAGAAGTGCTGAAATTATCTTAAAAGAAATTATACTGAGTCTCAAAGTAGACTCGTTGGGCCCAGAACACCCAAGCTGCTTAACAAACTGTAGTGATGGCAGAGCTGAGTTCAGAGGGGTGAAAAGAAGTGTCTGCAGGGAAGACTCCAGCAGAAACACTCTCATTCCAGCTGGGCCCCAGGATCAGGTAGGCTGGGAAGGTTTCAGGAACTGGAGAGACTTCTGCAAAAGGCAGRAGAATAGAAAAAGCAGGAACTGGGTGGCTGATGCAAGCATGCAGCTGTAGATGTGTGGGCTGTGCTCCCTGGGATCAGGGGTATTGGAGCTACTCTCTTCCTGTGGGGAAGGAACATGTGCAGAGTCAGGGTATGAGGGAGGTAGACCACAAGCCTGCACAGGCCAGTAACTCCTTGGCTCCCACTTTCCTTCCAAAATTCCCTGAGATTATCTTGCAGTTAGCTGTATTTTATTTAGAGACAGGGTCTCACTGAGTTGCTTAGTGCTGTGCCATTGCTGAGGCTGGCTTTGAACTTGTGATCCTCCTGTCAGCCTCCCATCCCACTGGGATTACAGGCGTGCACCACATCCAGCTTCATGTATTTTATTGGCTCTGAGAAATCCACTATCCACATTCATTTATCCAGCCTGAGGATGCTGTACAAGTCATGCATATACTCAAATAAGAGTGCTCACACTTCTCCAAGTTTCCTTAAGAGTGTTGAGTACAGACCCAGAGAGTAGAACCATTCACATTGGGGTGACATTTGGGATAGCAACCTGCAGATGTCCACAAACACCTGAAGTCCTCTGCTCTCCCTACTGAGCTATGGAAAGCTAATGTAAAACTCCCTTAAAATCATTTAAGCTGGGCACAATGGCACACACCTGCAGTCCCAGTGGCTCCAGAGGCTGAGGCAGAAGGATCCTGAATTCAAAACAAGCTTCAGCAACTTACCAGGTCCCTGAGCAACTCAACAAAACTGTGTCTAAACAAAATAAAACATAAGAATGGGCTGGAGATGCAGCTCTGCTGTTAAGCACATCTTGGTTTAATCCTCAATCCCCCCCCCAAAGAAACATTTAAATAATTAGTTGATGGTTTTACTTTGACTATAATCCATTTCATTTTGACAACAGGCAAACATGAGGTAGTTGTTAAGGGTATTCTAAAACTCATTGGGTTTGTGGTCATTCATGTGTACTTAAAAAAAAAAAAAAAAAAAAAAACTTTTCCTGAAGATTTAAGGTCTGTGTGGGTAGTTTTTTGTTTGTTTGTTTTTTAAGGCACAGTGACACATGCCCGGCTGAGACAGAAGAAGTGCAATTCTGAGGCCAGCCTCAGCAACTTAGCAAGACTTTCTCAAAAAAAAAAAAAAAAAAAAGAAAGAAAGAAAAAAGAAAAAAAAAACCCGAAGAGTAAATATATTGCTCAGTGGTATAATAGCACTGGATCCAATTCCCAATAGTAAAAAATAAAGTGCTTTTTATTGTAATACTGTTTCACACTAGGTCTTAAAAATTACCACTAATATTCTCTGTCACCCTAGGTAAAATAGAGATAGGTTAATCACACTTATTGCACTTGACCTCCTGTMCCACCTGTTTAGCAGTATCCCTTTTCTATTCAAGGTGAATGATTCTCACAGATAACTGGGCTCAAGACTTACCATATTGAAACAGTTATTTTCTAGTTCATTTGGGAAACTGAATCTCCTTCATGAAAACAAGGAAAATTAAGGGGAGATGTAAATATAATGTGCTAGTGAGTGTGTGTGTTTTAGGAAGTTAGTGGCTCATGTTATACTACACAATTATAGTGGGGCAAGTAAATGAAACACACCACATCCATCTCAATTTTAAAAAAGGAATGTGAACTTCCCATGTCAACCATACTGTGGTGACTTGCTGATGAATGGGCACATATGCCATGGTGCCTAGGAGAGGAACACATGCCAATGGAAGAAAGAGGAAGCCATCTGCAGTGACTGATCTTTTGTATAAAATGTATGAAATTGATTCATGGGTCCCACTCTGGTTATAGGTTGAAAAAAGATGGGTTCATAAACAATTTCATGGAAAAAATAAGTTCTGGGTTTGTATGGTCCAATTACACAGTTGGGTGACTACATTAATGTGTAGTGCATTCAAAGATGAGAAGAAACACTCAATGTTTTCCCCATAATGATGCAAAATATTTGAGGGAAAAGTTTTGTGAATTACTAATTGTATTATATAATAATACATGTATTGAAACTTCCCTTGAACTTGTTACATTTCTTACCTGTAAATTGAAAATTATTTAAAAATGCAGTAACATGGCTGAGTTTGTAGATCAGTGGTAGAGTGCTTGCCCAGTGAGGCACTGGGTTCAAACCTTACCACCACATAACAATAAATAAATAAAACAAAGGCATTGTGTCCAACTACATCTAAAATTACTTTTTAAAAAATTCAGGATCTCCCAAGTCACTCCAAATTTCAGTTTAACTTGCCTTAAGAACCCTTTAAATGACTTGTCAGAACCAAAGCAGTCTTTTATGTGAGATGAAATAAGGTGTAGACAAGCAGAAAAGATACATCCATAAACTTGGTATGAAGAATGGGTGGTGACTGTGGCAGAATATGAAAACCAAGATCTCTCTCACATACTGCTTCTGTTCCTTATGCATAAAATTTATCATTCCCTTGAAGTACTTATAATCCCAATTAATTTATATAAGACGAATTTTTGTGGGTGTTCCATTGACCCAAAGAGTAATACAACAGCAAATTTTTTTTCCATTTTTGTGTTTAGCTTTTAATCGGGACTTGTATAGAACCTGCAGTGGCTCATTTGAATAGGGACTTTGTCTTTCTATATGTAGTGGCATGTGCTCCGGTCCTGTTAAACAGGGAAAATTTATGACAGATATGATTTGGAATATCTCAGAAAGAATGTGCTAAATAAGCTTAGGGAGCCTGTGCCATTTATTATAATTCCTCTGATCCCAAAAGTATAATAACCATTGTAAATTATAGAGTAGAATAAAAGATAGCTAAAGTCAAAAGATACATCATATTATAAATTATTTTGAAAGTTTAAATGCTCCATAAGTATGGCTCTTTTTTTTTACCCTCATAATTGAACACTTGTTTCTGGTTAAATTTTCTACTGGTTGTCCAAAACCAAATAGGCATTTGATATTGGGCAAAAATATATTTTTAAAATTTTTTGACATGACTGAAGTCTCCTCAGTGGGTAATTATCTAGGGACTTCATAAGGAAATGCTTGGATTCTTCAGTTTTTTGTTGTTTTCTATCAGACATGCCAGGAGCCAGAATGGGTCAGTGTTCAGCTGAACATGTTGCTTCCTGGGTAACTATTGGGAATCTCTCTGCAATGACCCTCCTTTTCACAAAATATGCACTGGTGGCTCTTGGTTTCTAAGATAGTCAAAATCCCTGTGTTGAGAAGTTGAGAAGTTGTGTTGCTCTCTCAAATTGCAAGGTCCTTAGGAGTAAAGTCATTCTATAGGGAAAAAAATGGAGGGGGAAGTACAAGGGATTGAATTCAGGAGTGCTTAAACACTGGGCCACATCCCCAGTGCCTTTTTATCTTGAGACAGGGTCTAAGTTGTGTGGGGCCTCATTAATTTGTGGAGGCTGACTTTGAACTTGGGATCCTCCTGTCTCTGCCTCTTAAGTTGTTAGAATTAAAGTAATATACCACCATATCCAGAACTTACACAGTAAAATTTTAAAGTACTAATTCAAGAGAGTAAAATCTGGTGTTTATTTTCATGTACTTATATGTTATCTATAACTGTTTTAATGTTTCCTTAATGATAAACAGGTGGATAAAGGTCTGACTTATGGGAACACTATTTTCTAGGTGAGTTGATGTTCTAAAACAATTAATGGTGGTATTTTAGTATGTTTTTACTATCTGCTATGTAGAACCCTTAGTAAAGAGGCACTGTGATACCAGTGAGATAGTATCATGATTCAACACATAACACTGTTAACACATTAACATATTGTATACAAAATATTAATCAGTTATTTCAAATACACCACAAAGTCTCAAAAATATAGATTAACAACTCTCAGGAACAGGTTTTCTTCTCATGAAATGATCTATGTTAGAACTGGTTTTTTTCCTAGTTTTCAAAAGTGAGGATACTGAGTATTCTTTGATTTTTAATAAATTCCTAACTGTCCAGAGACAAGTTTTCTACACAATTCTATGATATTTATGAGAATTTCTTTGTTTGCCACATCAGCTAAGGATTTTAATAAACTTTAAGCAAAAGTTAAAGGCAATTCCTCATTTCTTACATACATAATAAAATGGAATACAGAAGAGGGCTTTCCTATATTTTTTTATATTTCTAGCATGATTTCTTCCTTATAGATATTTTGCTATTATTTAAGGCATATATTTCAGGGAGATGTCTTTCTACCTTCCCTATARGTATCTGGTTTCTAATGTTAAATATGAAATTTGAGTAAAGACTTGGGCACAGTATTCACATTGTTTAGGGGTTTTTATGCACTATGAATTCTCCACTGATTAGTAATGTTTGATCAATTCCAAAAAAGGTCTGCAACAGAATGTACATTTGAATTACCTCTCCCAGTTATGAATTCTCTGGTATTGAGTACAGCGTGGTTTTTGATTAAAAGCTTTGCCACATTCTTCACATTTGTAGCAATACTTTCAGGTATGAATTCCCTGGTGTTGAAGAAGGCATGCTCTTTGAGTAAAACCTTTGCCACTTGCTTCACATTTGTAGGGCTTCTTTCCAGTATGAATTATCTGATGTTGAGTAAGGTGTGCTCTCATAGTAAAACATTTCCCACATTCTTCACATTCATAGGGCTTCTCTCCACTATGAATTCTCTGGTGTCGAGTAATGTACTGTCTGTGAGAGTAACCTTTGCCACATTCTTCACATTTGTAGGGTTCTCTCCAGTATGAATTATCTGGTGTCGAGTAAGGTGTGCTCTCATAGTAAAACATTTCCCACATTCCTCACATTTGTAGGGCTTCTCTCCAGTATGAATTATCTGGTGTTGAGTAAGGTGTGCTCTCATAATAAAACATTTCCCACATTCTTCRCATTTGTAGGGCTTCTCTCCAGTATGCATCCTCTGGTGTTGAGCAAGGTAATATCTATAAGTAAAACATTTGCCACATACATCACATTTGTAGGGTGCAGTATGAATTTTCTGGTGTTGAGTAAGCCATGCTCTTAGATTAAAACCTTTCCCACATTCATTACATTTGTAGAGCTCCTCTCCACTGTGAATTCTCTGGTGTAGAATAAGCTTTGCTCTTTGAATAAAACCTTTGCCACATGTTTCACAACTGTAGGGCTTCTCTCCACTATGAATTCTCTGGTGTTTTGTAAGTTGATCTCTTTTATTAAAAGCTTTGCCACACTCATTACATTGGTGGGACTTCTCTCCAGTATGAATCCTCTGGTGTTGAGGAAGATAATTTCTATTAGTAAAACACTTGCCACATACATCACATTTGTAGGGCTTTATTCCAGTATGAATTCTCTGGTGTTGAAGAAGGCTTCCTCTATGAGTAAAACCTTTCCCACATTCTTCACATTTGAAGGGCTTCTCTCCTGTATGAATCCGCTGGTGTTCAGTAAAGCTCCCTTTATGAGTGAAGCCTTTCCCACATTCATTACATTTGTAGAGCTTCTCTATACTGTGAATTTTCTGGTGTTGAGCAAGGTAACATCTTTGAGCAAAACCTTTTCCACATGTTTCACAATTGTAGGGCTTCTCTCTCCTATGAATTCTCTGGTGTTGAGTAAGGCATGATCTTTGAGTAAAACCTTTGCCACATGTTTCACAACTGTAGGGTCTCTCTCCACTATGAATTCTATGGTGCATTCTAAGTTGATCTCTTTTATTAAAAGCTTTGCCACACTCATTACATTTGTAGGGCTTCTCTCCAGTATGAATCCTGTGGTGATGAGTAAGGTAACTTCTTTTAGTAAAACATTTGCCACATACATCACATTTGTAGGGCTTCTCTCCAGTATGAATCCTCTGGTGTTGAGTAAGGCTTCCTCTCTGAGTAAAACCTTTCCCACATTCTTCACATTTGTAGGGCTTCTCTCCTGTATGAACTCGCTGGTGTTGAGTAAGACTTCCTTTCTGAGTGAAACCTTTGCCACATTCTTTACATTTGTAGAGCTCCTCTCCAGTATGAATTGTATGGTGTTGATTAAGCTGTAAACTTTTATTAAAACCTTTGCCACTTTCTTCACATTTGTAGGGATGCTTTCTAGTATGAATTCTCTGGTGTTTGGTAAGAGTAGAAACCTGGTTAGAGGTGTTGCTTGTTTCATTATGTGTGTTCCATACTTTCCAGAACTCTGTATCTGAATTTTGATTAAGCAATAATGAGGACACAGGGGCTTTCCCACAACAATTAAAAGTGTATGTTTGGGAACAAGAAAGAATTTTTTGTTCATTGCTGAATAATGGACAGTTTTTAAAGAAACTTTCAAAATGATCATTTTTAGAAACTTGTCCTTCAGTTATATATGGAATACTTTTCTGAGGTATTAAATGTTCTTCAGGTCTGCTGACAAAATTTTCATTATGGACATGCACTACTGATTTGTCTCGTCCTTTATAATAGGATTTCCAATCTTCATTCTCACCTACACTGTCCTGTACTTTCTTTTTTTGTAAATAGTCAAGGTCACAATTTCTACATCTTCTCTTTATCACTTTTTTAAAAAAAAGTTTTATGCAAGACTCAGGTGAAATTTTCTGGGTATAATGAGAGTTCATGGCTGAAAGAATAAAAATAGGAATTATTTTACATATTAGACTGGGAATATACTTAACAAATATAACATGAAATTATAGGTAGTCAGGACACCAGCAGGGTAGCAGAACAGTATACCATAGGCCAACAAGCCTCCATAAATATATAAACTAAATAACAATTGACAGACAAAATTTCTTTCTGAGAATTACCCAAACAAGTATTCACAATATCTATAATGAATATATTATTAAGGAGGCAGTAGAGCAGAGGAAAGGAAAGTGTGTTACTATTATCCACCAGACCTTCCTCCTCCACAATATAGCACTGTGCACAAATCAACCTCAATTCTACCTAATAGAAAATGTATAATGGTAACATTTCCGGCTTTGGGGGGAACTGTCTGAAAATTGCTTCCTGTCRATCAGGAAACAGACTTGAATATAATAGATAGATTTTGGATGACAATAATACAGATATTCAACAGGGTTTAAGGGCTTATGATCTCTAATGAGAAATAGGGATAAATCTTTTTAATGAGAAAAATAAACACACACACACACACATGGCTAATATCAATATTACATGAATAAAATCACTAAATAACAATCAAGACAGACAACTTGGTTTTAAATTTTTATAATTTTGAATTATTTACTGATTTGTTTCATTGACAAATTAAATTTCATTTGCTAAGTATAYTTTAAAATATAAATAAAATATAAAATATAAATAAATAATGAAATGACTAAATATACCTAATTAACAAGTACACTGTTTTAATGTAATTATCATTTTAGTGCTTAAAAAATTATATTCATTCTATTAGCATTCATCAAGAATAGAGTATATTAGCTAATGTGGTGGTTCAGGCCTGTAATCCCCAATACTTGGGAGGCAGAGGAAGGAGAATCTCAAGTTCAAAGCCACATTCAGCAACTTAGCAATGCCATAAGTGACTTACTGAAACCCTGTATCAAAATAAAATAAATTTAAAAATTTAAAAAAGGGTTGGGCATATTGCTCAGTTGTTATGTACTTCTGTTTTCAATCTTTGGTTTGCTCCTTCCACAGAAAACAATATAATACATTACACTCACCATGGGTACAATAGAACTCTTGACCTTTTTATATCCCTTACAATAATACTTTGCAGACATTGACCAACACTTCACAAAACACAGTACTTGTAGCCATTTTACTCTCTGCAGTTCTGATTTCCACATGTGAATCAGATTACAGACACAAATTTATGTTTTGTGTCTGCCTTATTTCACATAATGCAAAGTACTGCATATCATCCCATGTTACTGTGACAAAATATCTCCTTTTTACTGTTAATTAATGGTAATAAAAACATTTTTTATTTATTAAACAAAAGATGGACACATATTGCACTGAGCATGGTACTTGAGATATGTCTTCAACATACTGATTTAATCCCCTCTGGATACCTATTTATAATTTGTATTTCCAGATCTTGGGGTTATTCTACTTTTAATTTTTTTATGTGTGGTGCTTAGGATTAATCCCAAGGGTACTGTACCACTGAGCTCCACACAAGCCCTTTTAAAATTGTTTAAGACATGGTGTTAAAAATTTGCCATAACAGGCATTAAACAAAATCCACTTGCAAATCCTCTCCATTATCTAAGATTGCAAGCATGTATCAGTGTGCTTACCTCTTTTTGAATTCATTAATAACTTCCATGTTTTTTTCCAAAATGATTAATAGTCTACCATTGGCTGTTTTTTATATGGACAAATCAAAAATACTATAGTACAAAAAGAGATACTTGGCTTAACCAAAGAAACAAAACAAAACACTAGCAATTGAAAATGATAACTTCTCCACCAACATTTGGAAGTTTGGCTTCCTCCTTGAACTTTTTGGACCTCTCAACTGTGTCCTCTGATTCATGAATTTCTATCTACCTGGGAACATGGCTCAGGGCTCTCTCCTTTGCTCCAGAGCAAGGTGTGCAAATACGGTTTAGAGACAATAAGATGTGTTCATTGGAAAATAAAATGACTATTTTTGGGATCCTTCCTGTGACTACTGATGCCTCCATTCTTGTACTGTAAAGAAAAGAAATTGGACTTTAATGTGTAGGTCACATCATTTGGTATCACAAAATTACTGTAAGTACTACCAATCTAAAGAAAAGAGTATATAACACCTGAAGAAAGGGAGACATTAAGGACTAAAAGTAATGAAAGTAATATTTTCTTCTCTGGAAAAAAAAAAAAAAGAGGAAAAGAAACCTGCCCAATCCTTTTACTTGAAAGCAAAAATCTGAAACTCATTCAAGAAGAGCAGAAGCTTCCCAAAGATATTCTGCATGGGAAGGAATTAAGAATTCTGATTAATGATGAATTCTGAAGGGAAGCGCTGCTCACCCAGGAAGATCAGGTTTCTGTAGTTCTCTAACATTACATCTCTATATAAATTCTGCTGAGCAGGCTCCAGGCATTTCCATTCCTCTTCAGAGAAATCAATGGCCACATCCCTGAATGCCAATGATTCCTGAAATAAAAATAGGTAAATTGATAGTACATTGACCAAAATATCATTAACAGGGAGCTTTTAAGTTTAAAGAAGATAAAAATCAGAGTTAGTAGAAGTGGCTTTCAAGTAGGTGAGTAAATTTTAATTATTCAAGAAAATACTTTGTAACAGTGATATTCTCTACTCTATAATTCTGAAGAAAGAGTGTTAAGTCATATATACATAATATGTGTGTGTGTATATATATATATATATATATATATATATACACACACACAGACACATACACACACACATATATATTTATATGTCACCTTTATGAAGTAGAATGTAAAATTAAGGCATCAATACAGAAATATACACTTTAATTGCAACTCTAATATCATAAAACAAATTTTCTATTTCTAAGACAAAAAAGTTATAGTGAGTAAAAAAGATGATTCTCAAATTTTAAATCAAAACCATGAATCAGAGATTTACTAAAATGTAGACTCTTGCCCAGTAGTTCTGGGATGAGACATGGTTTTCTAAATATGTAGCAGTAATTCCAACCTGGTAATCCTAGTGCCAGTGGGCCAAGAAATACTCCTGCATAAAAATGAAGTAGACCAGTGTAGGAAAAAAAAAAAACCCTTGATGAATTGGAGTTCAAATATTTCAAAGGATTTATGTACTTTTCATGTCTTTTTTCAGAAATCCAAAAGAATGTGATAGCAGTAACGATATTCATTTTTATGACATTTTGTCAAACACCCAGTAAAAGACCTAATTTTTACCCAAGTTTATTTGACCTGTAATTCAGAAAAAAAGGAGAGCATTAAAGTCAATTTAAGGTCTGGAATTGTGGCTCAGTGTAGAGCGCTTGCCTAGCATGTGTGAGGCAGTGGGTTTGATTCTCAGCAACACATATTAAATAAATAAAATACAGATCCATTAACAACTAAAACAAATTCATTAAAAAGTTGATTTAAAGTGTGAATTTTTAGAAAAATTTCAGAGCAGGTAGTGATTATAAATGAGAAGACTAATGGAAACATGTTAAGAAGAAACAAAAGCAGATTGATAAAATGATATTTAACTTATACATGTTGGAAGACATGTATAAATTATGGGTTTGTTTGAGCTATCACAAGGCAAGGAGTTTGCTTTTTGGAAATCTGGAGGTAAAATTCCACCTATGCACTCTGCCTTGGCTTGGACAGCCCTAGATTTAAACATAGCCACCCAAAAGTAGAGAGGAGGTGGGCRTAATCTGCTAAGCTCCCCAAAAGTTGTTTTTGCCATCTTCATCCCATGTTCCTGAAGAATGAATTCCTTTGGTGCACCTATCCATATAAACTACTGCTTGGACTCTATCTTTTGTTAGATCACATCTCCATCACAGCTGAATCATTTTGCCATGCCCCTGCTTTTAGTAAATGAATTTTTTCTCATTTCTGTACTTTCTAATTAATTTTCCAGTCTGGCTCACCACCTGTGTTGGTTACCCATCCATCTGCAGTATTGGTTGCAGCAGACTATATATGCCACATAGCACACATAGGAGCAGACTATATATGCACACATAAAAATGTTAACTTTATACATGGAAACAACAGACAATTTTTCATCCAAATAAGAATAAGTCATATCTTCCATTTGGTAAAACAAATCAATTTGGGAGGATGCTCTTTTAAAAAACACTATTGAGAAACACACTTTTAACAATAGAGAATAAAATAAGAGCCACAGTTACTGGGTCTTTTATACTCTTTATTTTCTCCCTGTTATTCAAATTCATCTTGAGGTACACTTTATAATTTTCAGGCACTTTTTTCTTTCATTGAAAATGCAAGGAGGTATGTCTCTAAGCTGAAGGCAGAATAAAATGAAAGTCTATAGGACTGTGGTCTGCTTCAGAATTTTCAGTAACAAAGCCAATAACCCTGGTAATCAAAAGCCAAAGGCTACGTTCACCAAAGCAAGGCACAAATGAAAAGCACTAAGAAAAAAACGGGTTCTATATCAAAGATAAAAGTTTATGTAGACTGTTTAGAA